TTGAGAAACCAGCTATGACTCTCTCCATCTTGCTGAGGAACTGAGAACTTGGCAACTCAGGAGCATCTAAAAATTCTCCAGGGATTGTCAGAGGAGAACCATACACTGCCTCTGAGACGGAGAATCCGGTGTCTTCTTTGTGAACTGAACGAAGACCCAAGAGAACCAGAGGTAAATGAGAAATCCAGTCGGAGTTGGAAGTTCTGGCTCGGAGAGAGGACTTGAGGGATCTGTGGAACCGCTCAATCATACCGTTTGACTGTGGATGAAAGCTTGTAGTCTGAGAAGGAGTAATACCCAGGATCCTGCAGACTCCGGCCCAGACGGAGGATGTGAACTGAGCACCTCTGTCGGAAGTTAACATAGAAGGAACTCCAAATCTTGAAACCCAGGTTGAGATGAACGCTCTTACACAGGACTCAGTAGAGATGGAGGATAAAGGCACCGCTTCAGGCCAACGAGTAGTTCTGTCAATCATTGTCAGTAGATAAGAATAACCTTGACTAGAGGGTAGAGGGCCAACGATGTCGATGTGCACATGAGAAAACCGTCATGAAGGAACAGGGATGGCAGGAACGGAGGACTTCACATGAGTCTGAATCTTGCTCTGTTGACAACGGAGGCAAGACCTGGTCCACAGCCCGACATCAGGAGACAACCCAGGCCGGACAAAACTGGCGGAGATTAACCTCCGCGACCCCCTGACTCCAGGATGAGAGACGTTGTGAAGGGCAAGGAACAGAGGTTTGCGGAGAACTTCTGGCACTAAAGGTCTGAGGGATCCTGTAGAATCATCACAAATTAAATCTCCGGAATCCAGAGTCACTTTCACTATAGAGAGCAAGGGTAACCTCCTCATAACTTGGACCGAAGGGCAGGTTTTCTGAAGTAACAATATTCGTGAAAAGTCGAAACCTGGAACTAAAAATTCTTGAGAGTTTGATTGATTGATAGAAGTTGAAGATGGCAAAGAATCTTGAGAATTTGATTGATTGATTTTACCCTAGAAACCAGCGACGTCGCACGACCAGTCCCATTAGGTCAAGATAGGTCAGATTAGGTCGGGTTACGTCAGATTACCAAATTGGTCGCAATATGACCAGTCCCTTTAGGTCGTGTTAGGTCAGGTTAGGTCGGGTTACGTCAGATTACCAAACTGGTCAGAACATGACAAGTCCCCCTAGGTCGTGTTTGGTCAAGTTAGGTCGGGTTAGGTCAAATAACCTAACTGGTCTGATACTGGTCTTAACCTGACCAATCCACTTAAGTTGGATTTGGTCGAGATTGGTTGAGTTATGTCAGGAGACCTCAAAAGACGTCAAAAGTTTGGTCATTTGGACGTCCAAAGTGACATCATTTCGACTTAGGTTGTGAGGACGTAAGAATCCTTGCGTTAAACGTCCTCAACACGTCCTCAACACCTAAAATACGACGTCGCCGGACGTCCCATTGGTAATTATTGACGTCGTCATGACGTCCTAAGGACGACTTCTGGTTTCTAGGGTAAACTAGGATTTTACGTTTGATCAAATAATATAAGTTTAAATTATCAAGGGTATATATTTGGATTAGAAAGTTTGAGTTTGTGGCAAAGACTCGATTTATTTTGCCCAGGCCTATGTCAATTTAAAATCTTGCTTTTCAGGTTTGTTTACAATATTCAAGCAAATATTATACTAAGCTGGAAAACTATTGTTCTAGAAGCCTTGCTAATGTGGTCGGAAGTATTTACTACTTTTTCGACCATTTCTTTGGTTTCTGCAAATTTACATTTTTAGCATTCAGAACCTCCCGAGTGTCCTCTTTCTCCAGCTGGTCATTGGCTCGAAGTGAACTTTAAAAAAGCTGAAGAGCTGGGACTTCTTTCAAGCCTGGTATCATTTTGTTTAATGTATTTTGGAGAAGAATAAAGAATGCCCATCACTATAGAGCAGTCCTTATCTGATTTTCACACAATAACACCATTCATCGGCAATCGGCGCATATTCTTTGCCTGTATTAAAACTCACCAATTTTCATTGTTACCTTTGTAAATTGTTTGGAGCAACGGTCTCAAAACGGGATTACTTTCTAACATACTAGGCTTTTAGGGCGCTTCACGTACATCTTCTATTTCAATTGTGAACATGTTCTCGTTATATACATTGTAAAAAAAAAATTATTTCACAGATTTAACATTTTTTTGTGGAATTTCAACATTTTCAAAAATGGAATTTTGTTAGAGGCAAATTTTTGAAAATTTGATCAGCCACAAACCTTCCCTGGGGTCACTGTTTCAAATGTTGTGCTCCATGCTAAAATCTAAAATTATATCTATAATTCAAGACATAAATTTATTTTTGTATTGAATTCTTGAATGATAGAATCGGAAAGATCGTCGTTTCTAGGGATGCTAGCCCAAGACATGACCGAAGAAAAGCACTTGCTACTTGATCCATTTTGAATCAGTTTGGAATGTTTTCGTGGATTTTCTCTTTTGAACATTTCTAACTCCACCCGCATACATTTATAGCAGACAACATAAAACCAATCATATACTTATGTTGACAGCAACTGTATATATTATAGATTCGAGTATTCTTTGAAGTATTTCAGAATAAACTTGAGATTACAATTAATTTTTCTTTTGCATCATTATTTTTTATGTTTCAAACACTCTTCATTGTAAACTAGACAAATGGAGAAGGTCAAAGAAATTGAGTCTTTGCCAAAAACTGATATATTATAATAGTATAATTCATAGTTTGAAATATACAAGATTCATAAATTTTGGTTGCAAAGATATAGGGATTCGAAAATCAGTGTTTGTGGCAAAAAATCGAGTCCATTATACGACTTAACTAGTACGACTTTGTGACCTCTAGTTTTGAGGTTATGCTTCATGTACGGGAAAAGTTACATATCTCGTTATAAAACGTTCTTCTCCATAGCTCTTTAATAAGATAAATCATGTATGATTTCAATAATACGTGCAATTTTCTTTAGTTTCATGTGTCTTATTTATTTTCATGTTTATATTTTATCTCACTCATTCTCATTTCTTAACGTATGTTCAATGATTTTAAAATCCCCTTATCATATATATATTTCAATTTTCAAATCATTAAATGATCTCAATGATCAACGAGATCCTTGTCATATTTATTCAGTTCAATAAAAGCACCTTGCCTATTTTTCCTAATTTTATTTCGATTTCTTTTGTCTGGAAATTGTTATATTGTGGCGCCCCTGGATTCCTGGAATGCAGTACACAGCATATTCCATACTTCACATGTTATTGTTTAGATTATGATATACTTCATCTAGTATAAATACTGTTTTTGATAAATATATATTCAGTCAGTTTATTTGATCTTATTCATTTGGTCTTATTCATTTGGTCTTATTCCTTTCGTCGCTACAATATTATTTTTATGACTTCCTCATCTACTTCTCCAGATGTCAGCTATTTTCTAGATAAAATAATTATATCCTAGATTACCTACATGCAACAACCTTTATTCTTTCATTCCTTATTAATATATTAATATGTATAAAGAACCTCAAAGAAGGGGGGAAAAAATCATGGAAAATGAGAAAAAAACTTGAAGAAAGGACTTTGATCGTTGTTTTACATTTTATTGTTAATTTATTACTAAAACAATTTTTTTAACAACGATTAATAGCATTTCGGTAAATTAATCTAAGTTTACAAAATTCTGCAAAGAAAAGGTTTTAAGATTCTCAAAACATCTAGATCTATTGAAGCAGAGTTAGAATATCAGTTAAAAGCTAAAGCTTTAATAAGAAAGGGGTGCCACACGCCGTGGATGCCTTTTACGTATAAAAGTTTCTGCTACAAATACAAATTTTCTTGTCCATATTATCTTTGCAACCTGATGGTGTAAACCGTTGCTATTTACAAATTATGATATAGGGGCTAGAAAATCAGAGTTTGTGACAAAAAATCAGTTTTTTTATTGACGTCGAGGATACAGGTATTTCTTCTTTTCCATATTGTCTCCTATCTTTTCGTCCTAGCCTTTAGAATTCTTCTTATTTGTGTTAATATAAAACTGACTAATAGCGATATTCTAAATAATTTATAATCCGAATATATTCGGCCACCTGATCATCTAAAGCCGACGACCTTTGATATTTTAATCTAAGAATTTTACTAGATCAAATCTTCTAAGCTTGAAATATCAAAGGTTTTTACCACCAGGTTGCAAAGACAGTTGACCATTAGAGTTTTGGCTAGTGTTAATTTTCCTCTGAACTATCCAGCCATCTTTTGTTTTTTTCTTTCAACTTTTTCTTCATTTTTATGTTATGTTCCCTTTTCCATTTTTTCTATATTAAACTTCTTATCCTCAAACTAAAAATTTTTTTTTTGAATCATTTCCATCCTTCCTCCTTTTATCTTATCTTTTCCTCTTTGATTTTTCCCCACACGTTCTTGTTCTTCTTCTTAAATTCTTTAATTGTTTGATATTTATTCTACACCTGTGTTATCCTCTCTTTAACATACATATGTTTATATCTGTACCTAATTATATATATATATATATATATATATATACATATATATATATATATACATATATATATATATATATTTTTCCCCTCAGCCGTGTAACCCCCTTGATAGAAGAAAGCTTTCTGTGATATTGATTAAAAATACAGCTGACTGTTGGTATTCTAGAAACACCGGGTATAACTTCCATATCAATAATGTATCCTCTACACCACAGTATACATATCCATGCAGTTATGTGCAGTTTACAGTGAAACCTATTTTATATGTTTAATTAAGCAACTTACTATTTTACTTTTTTCGAAAGAAAATTATTATTATTTAGAAACATTCATTGAAAGTCTTTACAACAATCATTATTAAGTATTGTTAAAGTTAATAGCTTTTATTTTTTACGTTTGTTTGACTAATTGTTTCTTAAAAAATAATATGTTTTATATTAACACTTTTCACAGAAACATTTCTGTTAAGGAGAAACTAAATAGTTTGCGATAAACTTTTAAAGTAAGTTATTTTGTAAATATATTTGAAGATTTAAAAGACAATTCAAGTTTTGTATAATGTCGGATGATGAGAGAGAATACAGGCGTAGGGATAAATTCTTTACTGAAAGAAGAGGTCAACTCAGGTATGTTGTATGTGAGTTACAACCATTTATATTTGATTTTTTTTGTCTGTTAGTTTGTTCGTTTGTATCCAATAAACGTCAAAATAGCTGACCCGATTGGGCCCAAATTATGTATGGCTACTCACATGACAAAAAAGGTATAGGAAGAAAATTAGAACCTACATTGTTCCGGGATACTTTATAGGTTAAAAGAAGGAGAATTCCCCATGGGGTTATTGACAAGATTTCCAAGGAGATCAATTGAAGAAGAAATCCTTTATGAGAGATCTATCTTTCAGTTGCGTACAGCTGCAAATCCACTTCAATTTTGAGTGGAAAACCCATCAGAAGCAATAATAATTTGATTTACTTTGAATATAACTTGGAATGTAAACATGTTTGTATGTCATATTTAGCTATTTATAAAATTTTTGATTGTAGATTTTCCACAAGAAACTGACTTTTTGTAACAAACTCAAATTTGTTAGTTCCTATGTCTTTGCAACATGGTGGTTTAAACCTTTGATATTGCAAACTTAGATTATCTGATCTAACAGAACTCACAACTTAAATTATCAAAGTTTTACGACATTGGGTTGCAAAGATAAAGAGATTAGAAGATCAGAATGTGTGCCAAAAACTTAATTCCTTTGCTAAAGAGGAGAAAACCAAACAGACAGCATTCCAACCTACATGCAAGAATCGACACCCTCGAAGAGTGCCCTAACTTTCTTTGCTAAACGCTACCATATCTTCGGTCAGTGTACTGCAGATTACTGCAGGTGGTTCTGGTCGCGCATTTAAGAAGAATCCTGGACTTTGAAAACGAAGAATAACTGAATTTGCAGTTTTTATCTTTAAGATACAGTATTCAATTATAGTAATAAAGACTAGCTATTTGAAGTTAATACCTAGTGCAGATTTTTAAATTGAATTATACGTTCTTTATTTTAAAACAATATGTAATATACTGACAAAAGTAACTTATTCAGGGAAAAGGAAGAGATTCCTGTCTGGAGAACAAGACTGCCCCCTCCTGTCGGTGTTCAAGGAGCACATCATGGACCTCCTTTCCTTTATCGTGGACCTCCTCCCCCTCATCCAGAGGCTAGTGGACAAGGATATAGAAATATCCCGCCTCCGAGGTACTAGGTGTATAAAAGGGGCTGTAGACGTAATTTTGTGTGTCCCTTTCCCCGACCATAAAGAGGCATGTCCGATCCTACCTTGAATTCTAAGCTGAGCAACAAAGTCAATCTTAAGAAAAGTGTTAAATTCGGACAATTTCCATTTTGTGTTATAATCGGACAATTTCCATTTTGTGTTAAATTCGGACAATTTCCATTTTGTGTTAAATTCGGACAATTTCCATTTTGTGTTAAATTCGGACAATTTCCATTTTGACTTTCAAAAAGAAACCACAATTGGAAGTAATCAATTTTTGGCTAAAAAACAAGGAAATAGCATTAATCTTTTATTAGATAAAGTTTACAAGGGTACCCTTGTGAATTGAATACGCCACCTTTTACGTAAAGGGTCACTTGAAATTATGTTTACAGTACCTGTAATACATTCACTCGGTGCGTTTTGTAGAATTGCCAAAAACCTTAGTTATCTTAAACTTTGAATTCTATTAGAACTAATTTTTTAGGTTTTAAATTGCAAAGGTTTGCACCATCAGGTTGCAAAGATATTAGAATATTTGGGTTTGTAGCTTTTTGTTTCTTATTAATTTCAAGTCCGCAACCCATGTTTGTACATGCTACAGTGATATTTCGCAAAATGTTATAAATATTTGCTCTACATAGAAACAGAAACGCACAAGATTTAAAACAGATTAATATCCGTAATTTATAATTCTGAATTCTTAGATTTATTAAATTTAAATAGTCTCATAAAAACTTAAAATGTTTGTCAATTTTTTTTATAGATAGTTATGATGATTTTTTTTGTAGATATATATATACTTTATATAAACATAAAAATCTAAAAAGATAAGATTTAATTTAGAGTCTTCCGAGTACCTCCTCCCTCGGGGCTCCCATACCTAGATAGAAGGGAGGGAAGAGAAGTAAGAAATACCAGAGTTGAACTCCATGTAAGAGAAAACGGAGATGAACGAGAAATATCTCCGAAATTACCAAATGTGCCTTCAAACAAACGAAGGTAATTTATTGCCTAAACTCAAAACGGAAAGATCTGAAGATCAAACATCCACAAACCTGAAAATTTTAAACTTCAAAAAATTGTTACCAATTAATAGATTTTTTCTATTCACATTGAAGGGCAGAGAACTCCGTGTGTTTATCTTTTAAATGGTGTCTAAATTGAATAAAAACTAGAGTGTGCACACTAGCGTACAATGTGAACTCCACACAACTACTTCACATATATTACTGTAAAATATCTAATGTCCATCGTGGTTTTTAAATTTTAAATGTAAATATTTATTTTCTGTGACTTTGGAATGTATGTTTTAATATTTAGAAATATATATAAAACAGCTTGCAAACAATCGGATGATATATAAATAAATTATAACACAATTTTCAAGTTTAAATCTAAAATTTATTCCAGTTAAAAGTAAAACGAGGAAAATTACTTTTTCGGAAATTCAAATTATTTGTTCAAGGTATCCTGATGAATGTGATGTGAAGGGTCTTGAACCTAGCAGAAAGATTCCAAGAGTGTTGGACACCGAGGGAAAAGATGGATTTCAGCCTGTGATGATGTCATTTAAAGCATTTCTAGAAACACAGGCAACCATTCAAATATTTGGATTAGGAATATTCCAAAGGTATTTGTTGGACAATTACAGACACAGTGAGACCCATAAACGTGTGGAACATGTTAAGATTTTAAATCTACCGATTTCCCTTAACAAGTTAATATTTAGAATTTGAAGGTTCTAGTAACAACACAAAATACTCTTAAGAGTTTGATTATATGTCGTCATCCTATCAAACAGTTTTACAGGTCCAACTGTATTAAATTTTTCATTTTTATATTTATGAAAAGTCAAACAATATGAGAAAAAAAAAGTTTAATCAATGTCTCTTGAGATGGTTAATATAACTAGTTTGATTGTCTGGATGAATGTATGAAGATTGAAGAATGGTTGATTGCAGGATGACAATATAACGGATGATGAGTCCCTGGTGAAGTTTGCCGAGTACAAATCTGAATTTAAACGTCAACAGTTGAACCAATTCTTCGTACTACACAGGCAAATAATTCACAGGAATTTTTTTTTTTGCCTGCTCGTTTTTAAACTTATTGGCTTTTTTGAAACGCGTTTATGGGGAATCATTTTTATTTTATTATTTTTTTTACTTTCTGTACATATTAAGGTTTTGTCAATATTGCGCATGGCGTTATGCAAATTTACTTCTTTCTCTTTCGACTCCATACAAAAATACATAAAATACATACGTTAACAGGGTAAAAAGAATACTTTTTATTGAAATCAAATAACGTAGAGTTATATCGCTTATTTTTTGACGTTTTTTTAAAGAACTTACTAATCTGGCGTGAATTATAGTGATGTTTTAATCTTTTGAAGATTAACGTTTTAATTTTTGGAAGAAGACAAAAAATGTTTCAAAGGTACATTTATGCCAAAAGTATATAAATAAGACTTGAAAAGGTTTCGCATGATAAATATTATTTAAAGTGAAAAAATAATCTTAGATTGAGCTGGAATTTTGCTACCTTCATCTTTTGAAGATTAACGTAGTTTTGGAAACGTTAAGAATACATAAATACTTCAAAGGTCCGAATCTGCTAAGAGAATTTAGAACACACTTGTGGTGGGTGCGAACCACATTATAACATTCCATAACATACACAAGTTTTGGGATTCAATTTTAGTTATAACCTTTGGGAAAAACATTCCATGTCTTTTTATTTAAAAAGCGTTCAGTTTTTTACTATATTTTGCTTAATACAGGACAATTATGATTCCTTACCGGTTTATTTGTCAAAAAAAGTTAATAAATTCTTTTAAATACTAAAATCGAATAATGAAATGACATGTTGAATGGGATTTCTTTGTAAATATCTTTTTCCCCATGTGGAATCGAAAAAGAAAGAAAACGGTTTTTAACTTTTATTAAACCTGTGAAATATTCAAAGAGATGAAGAATGGTTTCAACTAAAATACCATCCAGAGATAAATCAGAACAATAGGAATTTAAACATTTAGTTAACATCCAGTAAGGATTATTAAAAAGAACATGTTATGATACTTAATTGGATCTATCGTTCAGACATTTGAAAATTTTAAAGCATACGTGAAATAAATAATAAAATTGTTCAAAGATGAAAAGTAATTAACATGATGAAAATCAAACCTAAAAAGAATCTAGATCATAGCTTTTTTGCAATGAATATTTTTCGAAATGTGCCAAAGAGGTTTGACCAAAATAGAAATTGCATCCCCCTTTTAAAAAGGTGTAGAATTGGACAAATGACTTATTGAGGAAACAATAATTTAACAAGTAGCTATCCTCTATTTTATATCAATATTTTTTTGAAGTCATCTTTTGCTATCTATGAGACCAATTACAACTGTATATAATAAAAAATACGATTGGTCAGTTATGATTGTCCAATAAACAATAAACCCTTACCCAGCTCTACACAGACCCTAACGGTAAAAAAACTTGCTTTGCAACAATATCAAAAATGTAGGATGGCTGTCATATTTCTTTTCCGCAGTTTATTGGTCCACTGTATGTACCACTGTATGTACCACAACAAAGAGTCATGTCCCCCAATCTGTTTAAATACATGCCCTAGCAAATGTCACTAAATGTGTTGATAACCTAGGAATGCTGCTATGAAGAATATACAGAAAAGACTTGATGTATTCTTGGAGATGGAGAAAACTGGTTTATTTGATGATTTATCATTAGATGAGGAACATGAGACACAAATTATTGAACTTCTGGATATATTCGTGCTAAAGCTTGAGAATGCCTCTCAGGAAGAGATCGATAAATGGAGGCAGAGCTCAGAAAATGAAAAAATGACAGAAACACTGCGAACCCCGCGGACAAGCAGTATTTTCTTGAAAACTCTTCATCCAAGTGTAACCAAGAGTGAACTTGAGAGGGTTTGTGGCAAATATCCAGGGTTTTTAAGAATTTCTATTTCCGAACCTGCCGCAGAAAAAAATTGGTTTCGCAGAGCATGGTTAACTTACCGCAGACATTCTAAGGTAGTTTTATTACATCGAGCAAACAATTTTTAAAAAATTGAGTCTTTGCCCCAAATTTTAATTTTCAAACTCTTTGCAACCTGAAAGTGTAAAACTTTGATATTTCTAGCTTACATGATTCATAGTTTAAAATATCTAAGGTCTACTACATTGGGTTGCAATGACTTAAAAATAAAAGAGAGAGAAAAAATACGTTTTAAAGATTTAAAAACACTCTCTTTGTTAGCATTTTATCTATAACATCTTTATAAAGGGGGTGTGGTCTTAATCATCCAGCATTTTTCACTTGGACTTCATTTTATAAATCTAGTAGATAAAAGAACATTTCAAAAAATTGGCCTCATTTGTTTATTAAGTCTAAAATTTGTTATTGCTTCTGCTGCAAATAAGCGATTTTTTATCAACTATAATATCTCTTCATTTATAAAGATTTGTTGTCGCTTAATCGGGAGCCATCCAACTTTTTTCCCGATAAGGCCACTTTTTATCTCTTAATGCAGTATTTTCAAATTTAGAGTGCAGTATTTATGTCAGGTAATAAAGTATTTTTGTTTCCAGGTGAAGGAAATCTGTTTCAACCTAAACAATCTGCGTATAAAGGACGGAGAGCTTGGTCCTGTTGTAAACAAAGATCTGTCCAAGCGTGTACGGTGTGTACCTCAGTTTGTTCGAGACAAAGAGGTTATGAAGCATGATACGTCAATGGTGACTAAACTGATCTCTTCTCTAGACGCTAGATGGAAACTGTGGCAGGATACAGCAAATATAAACACAACAACGAATCCACTTCTAGCTGATGTGCATGACTTCTTAGGTAAGGCAGCATGTCATCAGCTTTGAATTACAGGGATTAAGCTGTTGTAAGAAAGAAATTTAGCATACTACATATAAAAATCCCTATAAAAAATAGTTTTCTTTAATTGTGTTTGTTAATGATCATGATAATCATACTGATCATGATGTTCAAGATAGTGTATTAATCCAGCTAATCTAGAGATGATATTTAGGATGATCATGATGATCAAGATCTGGATTAAGATGATCATGATAGTATGATATTTAAGATGGTTATGATGACCAAGATCTTGACAAAGATGGTCATGATGATCTTGAAAAGGATTATGATTTTGTTTACCTAGTTGAAGAGGTGAGTGCTGAGGAGGAGGAACTACTGGGTAAAGATTTCTGTAAGACAGAGAAGGATCCTAAAACAGCTCGACCTGTTCAACACGATCAACATCTTACCAAAACTCTCGATAAGCTCATACTGTACATCAGGTGAAAATTCACTTTAAGCAGAAAATCGTTTAGAATTTTTATGAATTAAAACAAATTTTCAAAATTTCAAATTCGACGAGGATACGCCACTTGAGATTCCTACATGTCACATATCTGCTATGTGAATGAATATTTTAGTAATATTGTTTGTATTTCCAGATTTGTACACAGCATCGATTTCTACAACAGAACCGAATATGTAAATGAAGACGACATGCCAAACAGATGTGGAATTCTACATGTCAGGGGCACTACAGATGACTCTACCGTCTCAGAAGAACAAATCGAAAAATATAATAATGAAACCAACAAGAAATTTGAAATTTTGCTGCGAAACAAGTCTGAAGTATCGGACGATGAAGTACAAAAGTTAGGTTTAAAAAATGAGACCGACGAAGTGGAAAAATTTGTTCTTGCCAACTGCCAAGAACTAGGTAAAGACAAATGGCTTTGTCCCCTCTCTGGAAAGAAGTTTAAAGCTCCAGATTTTGTAAGAAAACATATTTTTAACAAGTTTTCTGACCTCGTAAAGGAAGTAAAGATTGAAACTGAGTTCTTCAACAAATATCTTCGTGATCCAGCCCGGCCTGAGCTTCCTATACAAATATCGAAACCTAAACCTAAAGCTGAGAAGCAAGTATCTCCAATGACGCCGCGGTTACCGGTCAAGGCTAGACTTGGTGTACCTGGACTACCAATAGGACCTCATGGAGTTAAGATTACACATGCTAGCAGAGATCCTCGAGAGATCGTGGATTACAGCGATGTTGATCTTTCCAGCGCATTTGATCTCTTATAAACTTGTTTTAGTCAGGCTGAAGAAATTTAAGAATGATCTCTAATTTGGGTCTATATCATTTACTGAAAAAACATGGAGCTTAGAACCAAGTTCATCTAAGTGTAATTTTAAGATGAGTTAAACTTTCAAATTGCTACCAAAATTGGGCTAAATTCTACATGTAACATTAAAGTTTCCTCTCAAATCCAGGTTTTATTTATTTGGGCTTTCCTCTTTTAGATAAAAATAAAAAAATTGTCCACAGTTTTGCATTTTTAATATTCTTAAAGTTAAGGTTAAAATCCCTGAGGCACAATTTTATTTGGGCCCAAAAATATCGCTTTGAACCAAATCCAAATCAAAAGTATACATTACAAACAAGTTTTGAATTTATTCATCATGAAGCATCAAATTGATTTAAAGTTTGCAAGCCCTCACGCAAAAATCGATGAGAATTTAGCCAATTACATCTTAGAAATTTAAGCGTTGCGACACTTTAAAGTTAAACCAGTCTTAAGAGTTGATGCAACTTTTTAAAGCAGTTTGGATCTCTGTGGGTAAAAAACGATATTATTATGTAATTAACTAAACACCAAAAACAGTCATTTATGTGCATTTTTGTAATCCTGCATTTGTTGTCAAAATTAGTAAATAAACAGTGTGTTGTTACAAAATTCTGTGCTAAATTAATTAAATGTAATAGGTCGAACTCGACCAATGTTTTGTAATTTAAAGGCGTAAAAATATGTAGTTGTAAACACCTCTAGTTTATTTGAAACTTAAAAAAAAGATTTATTCTTTAATATCGTTGTGTTTGTATTTTTATCTATGAATAAAATAGATATTTTCTAGGTAAAGAATTACAGCTTAATTTTTAAAGCAATTTTAACAATGCACGTGTTATATGAATCTTTTGACATTTTGCCGTACTACTTGGTTGCCAAGAGATAGTTACAGAAAAGCTTTTAAAATCAAAATATAATACTGTTTTCATTTCCATTGTTAACTTTCATGAAACATAGCAATGGTGTTGTGTACACAGACCTGTTACATTTAATAAGTTGATTTTTTTGCTTTTAGTAAATTATTTGCTTTATAACAGAAAATGTATATGTAAAATTTCCTAAATATCGTCTTCCTTTCCCAGCGTTTTAATGGGTTTCATTAAACAATGCAAAAATCAAAAACCTTTAATGTCCAAGAAACATTTATAAGATTTGAATTTTTACTAATAGCATGTTACGAAAAAACTCCTTTACATTTTAGAAAGGAACTAAGTTGTTGTCAGATATAACACCAGAATACTGAGCCAAGATATCTCCGTATTCTCCAGGAGTATTTACCACGGCGGTAAAAAATGGCGATTGGTTAATTAGAGGTAAGTTAGAATATCATATAACCTGGAAGGAGAATGGATCTACAGTATCTATTCTCCAGCAATATCCACTAACAACTTAACAAGCTGATTTTTTTCAGAAAATCTGTTCCAAGGAGAAGGTTGTTCTACTGCTGCTAACTGAAAATCCTACTCAAAACGTCGGTTTCCAAACTGTAGTGGAATCTAGTGGTTACCCCATTAGGATATCGGTTAGATATTGGCGGCGATAAGGTTTAGAGAAGAGGATGTTTCAATGGATTGGTCGTCGGTTTGTAAGTTTTTCTATTAAATAGATCAAAAGAGATTGTTTTACTTGTAAACCGGCTAAAAAAGAGTTGAGGTTTACTTCTTCCAAAGCATTGGAATAATGGCAGTTACTTGCTACTTTCCTAAATCATTGCAGATAATAAACGCGGAAATCAGAATCAGGATTTTGATGTTTTTGGATTAACACATTTTTCTGAAGCTTTTTTTCGATAAGATTGCTGCACTGCATTGCAAGAAAAATCGTCCTTGAGAAATATTCTTCAGTGAACACGTACATCTCCAGGTATCCTGTGGAGAAATTCATGATGGTTTTCTTATTGATTTAATTTTTTTTTAATTCTGATTTATTTTGATAGTTTAAAAATTTATCAGATATTTGATAGGTGCGACATTTGACATATTCGACATTGAACAGAAACTTTGTTTGAATTAGATGCGATATTTGACATAAACAACATTTGACAGATGTGATATTTAATATTTACGACATTTGAAATATGGGACATTTGACAGATACGACATTTGACAGTTGCGACATTTGACATATGCAACATTTCACTGATGCGTTTGACATCTGGGACATTCCCTGAAAAAAAATTGTCTTCAAAATTATGTTTTCTTAATATATGGAATGCAAATTTAATTTGAACAAATTTAGGAATCTTTTTTGTAAATTTAATAATTTGTAAGACATTTGACATAGAAGACATTTGAAAGATACTTGGTTTGAAAGATGCGACATTTCGCTAAAAAATGTCTTCAAAATTATGGTTTTCTTAATGTATGGAATGCGAATTTAACTTATAAAAATTTCAGATTTTTTTGTACGTTTAATAATTTGTAAGACATTTGAAGGATGCGACATTTGACATATGCGACATTTGACAAATGTAACATTTGATATATGCGACATTGGACAGGTGCTAAGTTTGACAGATAAGACATTTGACAAATAAAACAGTTGACATTTGACAGATTTGTTCATTTTTTTTCATTTGAAAATGACAATTCCTACAATAAAAAATTGTCTTTAAAATTATGGGTTTCTTACTTCATGGAATGCAAAAAAATTTGCTTCGGATATTTTTGAACGTTTAATGATTTTTAAGAATGATTATCTGATGATATAATCCTATATCTTTGTGTTGCATTTGGGACTGATCCAAAAAAGGGTGAACAGTCCCTTAGATACAATAAGAGATCAGAATGGAATCAGTATACAACCCAAGCCGTAGGAGTAGACAGAAGCCTCCTGCACACTACCGCTCTGGGTTCTGTGCTACATACAGTGTACAGGATATTCTAGAGTTACAGTTAGTCCCCACAAAGATGAGCAGATCAAGGTGGATGATGAGGAACCCCGTGTACCTTGTAAGTCCGGATGATGTAGATGAGGAAGAGATTGATCCCATGGACCTGGCCCCTCTAGAGAGCAGTTCAGCTCCTATTGTTACAGTTCCAGTGGCAGCTGTAGAAGCTGTGGAGGATGCAGCTGAGGATGAGAGCATTTCATCTATAGAGTCTGATTACTCTACTGAAGATGAAGATAGGGATGGTGTTTCTGGACCCTTGTTCATCTGGAAGATGGAGTTATGCAACTGGTTGTAAACGGGAGCTCCATGGAAGAGGACGACCTCCAACCTCCAACCTCCTGACGATATTGTAGGTAATGAGGACTTAGTCCACCCCTTTGCTTCCAATGCTGACAGGCTGATGATGAATCCCTCATGTAACCATTGGTTAGAGGAGTTGGATATTCCTGAGATCCTCAAGGAAGAGATTACCAGGTGTATCTGCAGCAAGCTGCGGAACTTCCTAGAGTTAAGGTGGAGGTACTACCCCTGGGAGCACGAGGAGGATAGGGAGATCGTGGATGGGCTTGAAGATATCAGGGTAATGATCCATAATATTAAGAGTCTTGATATTGGGATCCCTAGGGATCCTGACCATTTACCAAACTCATGATCCTAAACAGGATTATAGTTATTAATGTGAATTACTATAACAGATTGATTTGTATAAATATGTGCATTTAAATAATATGTCTGAATAAACGTACAAGTATTAACGGCTAGAGCAATTTAGAATCAACCTAATTTAATATGTTAATCCTTCATAATTGATCAGTATCTTTGAAGAGTTGATTTTGTCGTGTTAAATACAACATTTCCAACCCAATGCCGTAGACCTCAGATATTTCAAACTATGAATTCTATTAAATTAAAGAATTTAAGTTTTAAATTTCAAAGGTTTACATCATTAGGTTGCAAAGATATAGGGATTTGAAAATTTGAGTTTGTGACAGAGACTCATTTTCTTTAATCAAATCAGTAGAAAATCGTGTTTTAATCTTTTTCGAACTATTTTATTTGTTTTATCTTAGAACTGTTAATTTATCATAAAATAGTTGCTAAACGAAAATTTAAAGGTGCCTAGCTTGAAAACACATAATATTTCCAAAGGATTTTTTTTTTCAAAATCTCATAACTGGTTTTTTCTAGAAAAGTCATAAAATATTTTCGTTTAAAGTTTCAAGCCTAAAAAACGTAACATTTCTTACAGAAATACTTTTTTCAAATTATTCTTTCCTTGATGCATGGAATGCAAAGGAGTTGGTTTTTGCCACAAACTATGATTTTCTAATCTCTATATCTTTGTAATACAATGTCGTAGACCTTAGATATTTCAAACTCTTAATACTTATAGATAAAATAATCTAGGTTTGAAATATCAAAGGTTTGCACCATAAGATTGCAAAGATATTGGAATCAGAAGATTTTAGTTTGTGGCAAAAACCCAATTCCTTTAATTTAATTTATAATTTGTAAGAATGATTTTAAGTGAAAACTTGACATAAAACTGTTGATCAAATATCTTCTTACAAACTTTGTTTAAAATTTTTATTCGAATTTTTTTATCACAATTATTTGTCATTAATTCAGTAAAACATCGTATTTTCATCTTTTGAGAACTATCTTACGGCAAAAAGGTATCTCAGAACGGTTTATGTATCGTAAAAAATGTGCATAACGAAAATTTAAAGGTTTACCACTTGAAAAACATAATATTTTCTAAAGCATGTGTAATGTAGAGAATGGAAATTTTTTTTTAACAAATTCAGATTTTTTTTATTTCTATATTTAATTTAAAGGTTTACATTTTGAAAAAAAAAAATATATATTTTCTTAAAATCATGGTTTTCTTAATGTATAAAATGCATTTTCTTCCCCGGATTTTAAAAAAAGCTTAATATTTTGCCAGAATGATTTAAAGTGAAAAACATAAAATTTTGTCTTCAGAACGTGAAGATTTTCTTAAAACTTTGTGCAAAATTTGGAATCGAATTTCTTTCAAAAGGAAAACTTCTCATTTGTCATTAATTCAGTAGATGATTGTATTTTTATGTTTTGAGATCTATTTTACGGCAAATTTGTATCTCAGAACTGTTTATTTATTGTAAAATATTTTCTAACTGAAAATTAAAGAAATAAGAAAAAAAACTATATTTGCTAAAATAATTTTTGAAGGATATTTATAATGATTACGTTTTTTACATTTCAGTATGTCGGTAAAATGGAGGTGAAAAGAATTTATAAAAGTGGAAAATGTTTGTTCCTATTCCCTACACTATATAGTATATACATTCTCTGTAGTTTCTATTGATTCACTGGGGACTAGAAGGAACACAGGAATAGCCCTGTAGGGAATAAATGGATTTGAATCATTAACCTTAATACCATCAACTGCTAGAATCAACTAGTATTTAAACAGCTGCTAGTGTCACACCCCTGCAGTTGGTATTTGAACACATAAACCTAGGTTCTATCGTCATTAACACCAAACCTAATCTATGCTAGAATCAACTAGTACTTAAACAGCTGCTAGTGTCACACCCCTGCAGTTGGTATTTGAACACATAAACCAGAACCTATCGTCATAAACACCAAACCTAATCTATGGTTTATATTGTTTTTGTATTATCAATGACAAAGAATGAGTTTTAAAGATAATGCTAAAAATCTGCCAATCATATTGTTATGCAGAGAGGGCTTTACAGTCATAATTTAATCGCGGATCAAACTTATTATTATTGACACCCCGGACTAACCAGAGTGAGAAGCATTCGGTTTCATTTATTT